CTCCTGGGTAGTTGTGTGAGTGCTGGCGGGGAGGGGTGATGGATGAGATTTTCAACCGTGTACAATGACGGCTAGGGTGGCATACATCAACTTCAGCCACCTATGACACCGTCGGGACGTTAGCCTGGCTGTCAAAGACTGTGGGGTATACAATGCTTCGGTTCGGGCGAGCTGTCTTCCTCTACTCCAGGGCTGTGAAACCTGGCCTCTCCAAGTAGGCTGAGGATGTTCGGCGGTGACTCTGCATGTTCGATCATCGCTGTCTCCACAGGATTCTCTCTCATAGGGAGAAAAAGAATAGTAATATGGAAAAACAATAGAGTTTCATTGGATATGATAAATCACGAGCAGTGGTGAATGTATCTGCGCCATCATCGAGAACGATTTTGAGCTAGCCATATCACCAATTGTCTCCAGCCACCACCATTAGTTTTCACCATCTGGAAGACTCCATCCAGGAAGTCCACACTTCTTGAAGTGGCTTAAACTAACTGTTGTTTATTTATTTCATTGACTGATGATGAAGCCATGTTTTGGTATGACTACCACCAATAGCTCTTTCCCAACCTGATCCTGTCTCAGCTAGCATTGACCGTTGACGAAGGCGATGGTTAGGCATACGTAACATATATCTTAATCATCTCGGAGACCATACCATACTGAAAACACCAGTTACCCTGTACCGGGCTATCAGCCACACTTATTGTGTGACGGCTAATGATACTACCCGATTGCAGACTGAAGTACATAAAGCAGGATTCGAACCGAGGGCCCATTGACTGACAGTCGAGTGGAATATTTGGGCTTAAAGCTTTAAAGTCTCAGTAATCGTGTTTTTTCTCTACAGGGTACAGTAGTTATTATTAGTTTGACGCCCAATATTCCCTCCTTTTTTATGGGCTGATAAATAAGAGGTCCAAAAATTGATCTATTGGCTAGGAGTCGAACTCCCACCACGTGAATGGCTGGTCAGCGGTCAGCATTCTACCAATCAACTAACAACGTCTACTAATTCAGAATAACTTGAATAATTGTAATATAAGCGTAACAGTGATCTTCACTCTCCTTAGCCAGGGAGATGAAGACTAATTATACCGCTGACTGATAGATATAAGTAGTCGCATATCACTCACATGAACCGTTAGTGTTCACTAGCCTGAGTGATTGAAGTGATTTAAACATTGATTGGCTGTTTCGTTTGTTTGACTCGTTTGACTCAGAGAGTTGAACCAGTTCAAGCCACCAATGTCAGCTTTATGATGAAATCCCCCAACCAATCAAATCAAATCCCTGCAAACCAACACTTGAATATCAATCTTACGCTCACTGGCAAATGGTCCTATTCAGGTAGGTAGTTGCCTGGGGAAGTCGTGACAAATCAGTGGGGTACAGCAGGCGGCCGGTTGAGAGGAAAAATGCTCGCCAGCGATGATGACATTGGCTAGTGTAGTGGTCGGGCCATATCGTGAATTTGCAAAAGTTGGAATGCATGTACTGGTCATTAGATTGGCCAGTCCTAGTGACTTACTTACTTTTACTTTACTTCGGCTATCTCCTACGGGAGGATGAGCCGGCTTCATGAACGTCTCGAATCATCGCTGCCCAGGCGCGGCAATTTGTAAGAGAGTTCATGAAGTTTCATGGGAATTTGGTACGAGTGATGTCCCCAGGATCGCTCGGCCTTTTGTTTGAGAGTGCAGCTCTAGCCTTTACACAACCAAGTGTGACCTACAAGGCAGTAGGAGTGGAGTAAGGAGTCCACTATCCATTGGCAGCCGATGACCGAAGTTCGGTTCATACGCCTTTTTGAATGGGGCCAGACATCCAGGAAAACCAACAAGCCCTTTGTCCATACGTCTGCCGGTGAGCTCCAGTGAGCTTCATACGCCAATCGTTGGAGGTTTGGAATCAGGGTTTAGCCATCTCCCCTAGACTGTCATCCAATGGACAGTCAACCCGGTGGAGAGCGCCGGGCATCCGCTTAATGGTCTACGAGCTAGTTCACCTCTTGTAACCAGAAGGTCTTTGTTTAGAACCTCAGCGGGTGAGTCCTACTGAGGAGCCCCAAACTAGGCTGATGAAACAGTTGGCTGTCAAGCAGTACTTGAGTGGTGGTTTTCCTATAGTTCTCATAGTGAAACCCGGTAATTATATATTTCTCAGCATAAATTTAAGAAGGACTGATAAATCATAAAAGAAGCCGACGTATGCAAGGCATAGATCAGATTGATACATAGAAATGTGCTTTCACCAGTTTTCAGGATGGAAGGAGACTTTACAAAATCTGTTTAATTGTAGGATGTAATATACTACTGATTATCTGATACGAGTAGTTGGAGCCTATTGTGGTGAAATTTCAACTTGAAGTGCATAAATATCACAAATCACGAATTAATTTGCAAAGTAACAAACTTGTCACCGTTTAACACTAGTTAGTAGTAGTTCACAGCTTAAATCAAATTTACATAGCCCCAAGTTTGTTAAATAAAAAATTGTTAACACTGATCATTCCATCTTGACAAACGCCTCCTGCTTCACAAAGTAATCTACAGAGTTAAGAATAGCCAATATAACCAAAGGCAATACGGTTTCGTCTCCTTAGTATCGCTGAAGCTCAGGTCATCCATTCACATAGAAACACTGGAGCTGTGCATACAAAAGTGAATTAGTTATTCAACCACTTCTACCGTCATGGTAACAGCTTTGTTGATTTTTGATGACTCTATTTTGTTTGTTTGCCTGTTTGCTTTAATTTGCAAACAATTATGTTTGTAAGATCTCAGAGAAATTGAAATAAGTAATTCCAACGCTTCCTGTGTTCGTCAATCTGATCCGAACTTCTTCAGAGAAATTAATCGAAATTAACATAACAGCAGAGGTTTATATGTAAAAAAAGGGGACATCTCTTGTTATTAGAAACTTTGTCCAATCAAATGAGTCATGAAACAGGCATCAGCATGTATAATAAACAAAATTGTATCAACTGTGATCAAAATTTGACCTCAGACTTTCGAAATTCGTCTACATTTGTTAAACAATTTAAACAGAGTGTAATTTTATTGAATTGAATTTTAGATTTCCCCGTCCATTGACTGTGATTGGACCGAAGTTCTCAATCTCAGGTTGACATGTCGGCTTCTTGTGCAGATGCTTCGACAATCTGTCTGGGCATGTAATTACAAGTTAAGTGGTGGATGCTGGCTAGCGGTGGAATCCAGGATAAGGCGCATTTCGTCCTATTTGGGACTGGCTCGTCAGCCACTGGATGTACCTGCATTCCACATTGAATGAGTGAGTGATGGATGATGTTCCCACCACCGAGACTCGAACCCAGTGCCCATAGTTTCAAACGCCAAATGAGGTTATTCACTAGACCAATTGGGCCACGGGAGCCACTCCACCTCTTGTGCAACGGGTCCTCAATAAGACAAAATGCACGTCCTGAATTCCACTGCTAGTCACCATCCACCAAATAGAGTGTATTTTTTTATCAGATTACGTTAAACTAAAAGTTCATGGACGTAAATAACTGAATATGAAGAGTATATATGTGTATATGCAGTATACAATGGTGTGTGTATGTGTGTGTGTGTGTGTCGGTAAACAGTCATAAAAACAAGAGATATCCCCTTTTTTATATATTTGATTTTTGATTTACAGCTTGATTCCACACTGTATTTTTGGTACAAGTATGGAATTTTCAGCATTGGATATCGGTAGCCCAAATTTTGCAGGCCAACCCAATAGATATCAGGTGTGAGTCGGCAGGGGATCAAACCTCGGACCATGTGCATGGTCGACGAGAGTTCTAACCACTGTGCCACCGATGCATATATAAACCTCTGCTGTTATGTTAATTTCGATTAATTTCCCTGAAGAAGTTCGGACCAGATTGACGAACACAGGAAACGTTGAAATTACTCATTTCAATTTCGTTGAGATTTTACAAATATAATTTCTTAAAAATGTCTACTTCTCACTCGGTGCCCAATAATTTTGGAACTATTCGGTCAAATCTTGATCAAAGTTCATATGAATGTTCCTTTAATTGCTTATAATTCTTGTATATTCATTTAAGAACTCTTACGTAATTTCGTATTCTCTACTTTGTTTCTATATGTGTATCCTGAGTAAAACTCAATCATCAAACTATTCACATTATATTACGTAACTCCTTTTTAACAGCTGTTTGTGACAACTCATCACCTTTGTTACACTACCCTAATTTCATTAACACCTAATTTTCTTGACTTGTATTACCAATCTTCACCTGTTTAGTTAAAATAACCCTAATCAATTGTATTTTTGTTTGACAAACTTAATGTACAAATACATACAAAGTAACTTATATATACATATTTGCGATTGTACAGCTAAGGGGGAAAATGAATTCGCCGCCGAAACGAGACTCTTTGCTAAACTACATTTCCTGTTTTCATTAATGCCTGGATGGGGATGGGGGAGTATTCATGAAATAAAAATGAACAAAGACACGTTTAATTGAATTTTAGATTTTCCCGTCCATTGATTGATTGATTGATTGGACCGAAGTGCTCGGTCTCAGGTTGACACGTTGCACAAGAGGTGGAGTGGCTCTAGTGGCCCCCCAAGTGGTCTAGTGGATACCCTGATTTGGCGTTTGAAACTATAGGCACTGGGTTCAAGGCCTCGGTGGTGGGAACATCATCACTCACTCATTCAATGTGGAATGCAGGTACATCCAGTGGCTGACGAGCCAGTCCCAAATAGGACGAAATGCGCTTTATCCTGGATTCCACTACTGCCAGTCACCATCCACCAATTAAAGACACGTTTGTTGTGAACAATTGATTTAAAAGGTAAGATAACACTGATATACATAAAAATATGAAGACAATAAAATAACTGTGAGGCTATGGGCCAGGCCTGGCCCATGAATTAGGAAAACACACATAAAGCAGCCAGCCATCACATAGAGAGAGAGAAAGAGACACAGAGAGAGTTGAAATCTTTCAACTTACTAATTTTATATAACCTTTCGCTGTGACAAGCATATTCTCTGGTTTTAAATCACGATATACAATTCCATGACGATGTAGATAATCTAGCGCTTCAATACAACATGCCATACAAAATCTTGCAGTACGCTCTTCAAGATGATGACTATTGAAAAAGAAATGAGAAGAAAAAAGCAACAATTAGAGAGAGAGAGACAGACAGACAGAGAAAGAACGAGAAGAAGACACTATACAGCTAAATAAATCCAACAAATTATAAATAGAAACCTGAATAGCTTTCAGATTACCAAGTATTGGTTTTGTAGGGATTTCATTATGAGCTGACATCAGTTAGAGAACCATCGGAAAACCAGAACTGGAGTACTGGACAGCCAGCTGCTTCGTGGGCCTAGTTTGGGACTCTTCAGCAGCGCGCATCCATCGACACGGTTCGAACCCAAGACCTTCTGGTTATCAGACCAGCTAGCTCGTAGACCATTAGGCCACTGGGAGCAACCAATCCAATGGCCAGTCAGTGCATGAATTCTAACTTCTGACAATTTACGGCATATGGCGAGCACTTGGCAACGTCTTCTTCAATAAGTCACCGTCCGCATCTTCAACCTACTGTACCCTTCTGGTTACGGCTTCCCAATAGACAAATACTAGTCAGCGATAACACATCGGCTAGTGGTCGCGTAATGCCGTGAATTGGCAGAAGTTGGAATTCATGCACTGATTGGCCATTGTATTGGAGGGTTCCAGTGGCTTAATGATCTACGGATTAGCTCACCTTTTACCAGGAAAGTCCTGGGTTCGAATTCCGGTGGGTTCGTTCTGATGGAGAGTCCCAAACTAGTTTGACGAAACAGCTCTCCAGTGCTCCCAGGTTTTCCAATGGTTCTCTAACCAATGTCAGCTCATGGTGAAATCCTGTAACCGATCAAATCCCTACAAGCCAACACTTGAAGATCTTTGATCTGTTTTGAGCTTTGTGAGTGTAGAACTAGGTATAATGGGATTCGAACCCAAGACCTATTGGTTCAAAACCTCCAAATAAAATTCTACGAATAAAAGCCATAGAATTCACTTAAGTTTTTCATCATAAAGTTTCTAAAGAAGATATTTTCAAGTTACATATAATACTTGTAAACAGGATATAAGTAGACTACTACTTTTACCTTTTTTACAAATACTTACTTACCTATCACGTAATATAGTCCATAATTCACCGCCTAAACACGCTTCCAACAGCATATACACATATTTATTATCTCGATATGTGTTGTACAATCTGGAAGTCGAGGAAAAAGACAAAAAACATCGGTGAAGTAACAGCAATTGACAATCAACTTATGTACAAATAAATAAATGCGAAAAATGATAGTTATACTGAAGTAATGTAATGTAGTTATGTCTGTTTTCGACATAGAACTTTGCACCGATGTGCCGCAGTTCAAGTCATCACACTCCCTCCATGTACCACACAAAGCAAGAGAAGAAACTACAAGAAATGCATAACAGAGACAGTAAACAGAGGTGTCAGACAAAGTAATAGTAATAACGAAGAACAATATAGTTACATTAGGTATTATAAGTCACAAAGAGTGGATGCACCTGAGCCAGCCATTGACAACGACGACTTTGAGCCATATCACCAATTGTTTCTAACCATTGATTTTTACCGTCCCGAGGACCCCAACCAGTCAGGAAGTCTACACCTTCCTATGTGGTTGGCTTAAACTAACTGTTATGGATTTCATTGACTGGTGAGGCCATGTTTTGGTTTGACCGCTGCTAGCTCTTTTCCAGCCTGACCCTATATCAGCTAACATTGACTGTCAAGGAAGGCGATCAATGGCTCGGCATACGTAACACATGTCCTAGCTATCTCAGTCGATGTAATTTCCCAGCCTCGACGATTGATTTCCCCTCCTTACCTAACACTCGACTGATGCCTAAGCTCAATATTGCTCACCTTATTATACTACTTCACACGGGAGATAGAACGCAGGCACCTATGATTGAGGACAGCTAGCCAGGCTTTTTATTTCTCCCACTCTCAATGGCCAGGTCTCGCTCACAGCCATAAAGAAGGATGAAGCGGACTGATGAACAGTACACCCACCCTTTGGTCGATAGTCGAATATCTCGTCTACGCCAGAGACGGCGTAAACTGGTAAATGCGAAACTAGCCCTCTGTATCCTTGCGGAGATTTCGTCAGAGATCAACCCATTGGCACTGGCTGATGGTACTTCCCAAATAAGTGAAGCGGTCAACGTGCTCTACCACTTCGCTTCCTATTTTTAATCCAGGAGTTGGTGTAGTCCAGTCCTATAACATCATCTTGCATTTTGCGGGAGCGAATCGCATGCCAAACACTCGTAGATTGCAGCTCAAGGTGTTTAGAAGACTCTGCATTTTGTCAGCGTCCTCGCCTAGAAGGACTATATGGTCTGCATATTCTAAGTCAACGAGATTATTCCCTGGTAGCAAGTTAATCCCTGAGTCACTGAAGTGAGTTAGGGTTAAGTCCATTAGTACATCTATGATGAGGTTGAATAGAAATGGGGATAATGGGCATCCTTGACGGACACCACTAGTCGTCACCAGTTCAGATGATGACAACTCGCCGTAAGCCCTCACCTGGCTGTATGAGTACGAGTAGAGTGCCTTAATCAGTTCAATGAAGTTATGTAATAAACAGGTGACAACTATTCAGATTGAAAAGAGTAAAGAAAACAACAGCTAACAATTCAGTTCACAACTGAATTTTTAACTTGTTAATTCACCCTCATAAATGACCTGAGATATGAACAAGGTCTCATGTTGCCAAGCGTTCGCTCATAGTCTCTCCTATGTAACTCCTATTGATTTTATTTAAACGGAGAAAAAACTTGGTACAATATGGCACCAAGAAGGATGCGCCATACAATAATAATAAAACAACATAGATCAAAAGTAAAAAACAAAAGAATATAAGTAGAGAACGGATAAAGAACTTCATCTGGAAGGAAAACAGTCATACTACTTAACAAGTTCAAACAGTATTCGTTAACTATCATCGAGAAGGGAAGCAAGAAGGAAATTACAACAGGTTCGCCATTGATGACTGGCGATTCTTGGCCATATCCGATAACGTTTCCGGCCACCTTCGATTCGAGCTATCTCACGGACCCCAACTAGGGAGTCGTGACGCACCAACCGATGCTAATCTAACACAAACATCCTTCATCCCACGACGCCAAGTAAGTCATGGACTAACCACCCCTCCGCCTTTACCATTCCATCCCAGAGCCGGCTAGCGAACAGAGACCTGTACGGAAGCCTCTGGGTTGACATTCTCAGCACATATCCAAGCCACCCAAGCCGGTGTTTCCAGATGATGACACTCAATGAATGGTGATCTCCACTATGTTCAAACACACGCTACCGAACCTCACGCGATGATAACATCGAACCCAGGCAATCCTGCAGACACAGCGATAATCGAACACGCAGAGTCGCCGCTGCACATCTCCAGCCTACTCGGCGAGGTCAGGTTTCACAGGCGTAGAGCAAGACAGCCCGCCCACACCGAAGTATTGTATACCCGACTTTTGATAGCCAGGCTAACTTCGCAACGGCGCCATAGGTGGCTCAAGTTGATGTATGCCACCCTAGCCCTCATTGTACACAGTTGGAAATCTCATCTGTCACCCCTCCTCGCAAGAACTCACACAACTATCCAGATACACAAACTTATCAACAACTTCAAGCGGTTCACCTGCAACAAGAGTGAGTGCAGGTACAGGCTCCTGCCAATCTTATAAAAGTACTTTGCACTTAGACGCGGTGCAAAGTACATACCATACTTACAGACACTCCTATTTATTACCTTCACGCAACGGCATAGGTGCTCCTCATAAAAGCGACAGGGTAAATGTGAATGCCTGACGCTTACAACTGAAATGATGGACAACACCGGTGGTCTCTAACCTAGGAAGGCTGGGAAACCTTGATTTCAAACATCTATATAGTAAATCTAGAATCCGAAAGGATGGAATAGCGTAGGAACCTGTTTTGATCATCAGAAACTATGGGCATGTTGCTCCACATCCTTGTGGATTAGGCTTCGAGTCCGAGACTCGGAGGAGGGTGGTCCCTTAAGACGACCATCTGCACAAAGTATGCGACAACAACTTATCGATTTTTTTATTATTCTGGTGTGGTGCATCTCTCTTGGTGCCCAAAATGTACCAAGTTTGCGCTTTATTAATAGTTATAACCTTATTAATTCTATATTCTGAACACCTGCTGCATAACACGCAGAAAGTTCATTAAATAACTTGCAGATATATTCGAATAGTCAGACAGACTGATAAAATAAACTAGAATGGATGATAACACTTATCCTACAGACACACAGAGAATACGTTTATTATCGTGGTCATTAAGGTTTCTCGCTAACGATATCTGTCTTGTATACATTAGGGTTAATACACCTCCAATGTGTAATCGACAATCTAAATCGAAGCCTTGGGAACTAGACAGAAACAAGATAGATGACAACACTAAAGTATACTCAAGACTTGTATAGTTTTCAGTGTAGTGTGGTGTGTAGTGTAGGTGATTTACACCAAACTAACTACTTCACGAAGTGTAGACCAAGCTTAGTACTATAAACAATTCAGAGAGCTTAAATAACACATACTTGTATATTTCTTTCTCAATGATTTGCGAAAATCTTACTTTATATTCAACTTAATGAAATGCGGAAATGACTAAGTTCTTCAGTTATCATACAAGCAATCAAAGATTTTTCCAGCCTGAAGGGCTTTTGTAAGAATTTGGACTAATTTCAGTGTGGATTTCATTAGCAACGACCTTGGTGGTCTGTTCGAATCTTTGGGCCAGCTACTATAATATCTACATTTTGCATCCAGTCTACTGTTTACCAACATTTATTTATCACCTAAATATGAATTCTAACAGAATCATTTACTCTCGTAACTTTATTAATCATTTACGACCAAATGACTTTCATATTCCAAAGAAATCAAGGAGGAAACATCGTAGTGGTTGGCAGAGAGCTCTCAAACGTACACCAATACACTTAACTACGGTCCCCGTCATAATGAACACAAACTGCCGCTCTCTGCCAAACAAGATAATGTACCTACAATCCTTGATGTCCACTGATACTTATCATAATACCGCCATAATCACATTACAAGAAACGTGGTTGCATGAACTGTATGATGACAACCTTATCTCACTAAAGGACTTTATTTTATTTCGTCAAGACCGTCAATGTTGTAATAAGAAAAATGGTGGTGGCGTTGCAACTTTTATTCACTCCAAATGGTCTGTCTCAAATAACGTCTGCTTCACCTTCTCAAATGACTTCATTGACTGTATTACTGTCAAATGTCGCCCCAAACATCTCCCCAAATATAAACAAATCTATATTACAAACATGTACATTTCTCCTAGTTGCTCTCCATCTGATCTATCTAATTTTGCTGATGAATTCACCATGTTTGCTGCTGCCAACTTCGACAACTCTCTATCCGTTATTACTGGGGACTTCAACACCTCAGATTGCTCCTTTCTTGAAGCTCTTGGTCACACAAACATAGTCAAATTTCCCACTCGACTTGACAAAACACTCGATCTAGTTTTTACTAATGACGAAGGAGTATATGAAACACGTAGACGTTCACCGATACTAAACTCCGATCACTGCATTGTCCGCGTTTTGCCAAAAATATACAGCAAAACACATATTAAAATCTTCTCACACCTGTCTACGAAAGCACAACAAAGAAGCTACACATCTGACAACCTACTCAATCTAAGATGCATGTTAAAAATACTAACTGGGATCTATTCTATGAAAGTACATTAGATGACTCAATCACCAATATAATGGATTATCTTAAGTTCTGCCTCGACATATGCTGTCCCAAACAAACACTGTTCAAACGCCTCGACCGCTTCTCGTCTCCCCATCTCAAACAACTTCGCAGGCAAAAAGAAATGTTATATAAATGCAAAGACAAGTTAGGACTTAAAAAGATTAATGCTCAAATCAAATCTGAAATCAAAAATCTTAATGCTATCTATAACCAAACACTTTTATCATGCAAATCTCCTATCAGCATGTGGAAATTTTTCAATGAAATTACTGGCAATAGTAAGCGATGTAATGTTTTTCCCTCTTGTGATGTTAATGCTCTTAATCTGTCTTTTATACGCTCTCCTTCTACTATAACCACTTCTAACGTTACTAATCTTGTAGCTGATAACTT